TTCCTGCAATAGAGGAGATAGAATACTGAAGGAGGTGTTTCTCAGTGTGGTTTAATGAGTCGCATGCAGATGGGGAGCTCAGAGTAAAAGCAATCGGAGTTCTCCAGTACCCAGTGGCAGGCTGTGCACCTAGAAGAACATGAACAAAGTCTTGTCTGCTGGTTGATTGAAAAGCAATTTGATTGAAAATAGCTTTGTTGGCCCAAAGAAAAAAGAATGTGGATTTTGTGGCTGTTAAAAGGCTCTTATCTGATGAAGTGGGGGCTGGGTTAGTCCTGGGGGAGAGGAGGATGTCTGTGGCTCTGTGGCACCCCCCAGTGTCAGTGCAGTAACCCAGAGCAACACCACGTGGGGACATTTTACAAGTAGGACTAAAGACCTTTCTTTCCTGAACAATTTAAAGTTTAAACACTCTTATTTTCATGTTGGATAAAACAAAAAAAGATTGTTTACATTTAATAAAAGGACACATATGAAAGTAAACTTTGTCCCAGTTGCTCACTTGAGTGATAACAGTTGGCAGGTGCATCAAGAAATTATTGACAGTTAAGTTACCTACAAAAATTCTGTACTGTCCACCTGGCATAATCCAGACATTGCATCTTATGATTTAAACATTTGGGAAAGGAGATGCACCATTATGTCTACATTGTATAACTTTAAGATGATTTAAAGCAATCCAAGTAAGAAAAAAGAAAGGAGGGAAAAAAAGCAACCGTGTTAAAGATTCATCTTGGTACAATGTGGTCACATAGAGGCAGCATTTTTTAACATAAAAAGCTGGACTATACCAGGCAACCTGCGTCCATGACTGCCATCCAGGCTCTTCTTCATAGACCTTCATCTTGACCTTGGCAGCCTCAGTTTCCACATCTGTGAAGTGGGCATGTAGCAGCTTCTTGGGGGCCAGGGGAGGGGGCAGATGCAATCACATTAGAAGACCTGTGATCTCAGCTCAGAGGTGGAGCTTGCACTTAAGTGTCAACGTCCTTGGGCGGGCAGCGAGCTCTCCCCATCTCTATACCCACATGCCTACGATGCCCTCAGCAGGGCTGAGAGTGGGACACAGCCAGCCCATGGTACCCACAGTTTGTTGGGTAGACTCATGTTGTTCCTTTTACCTTATTTTTAGAAGTTGAAATTCACTCATTTCAAAACAAAACTTTATTTTTTCTTATTTATGTTGATCCACTTCCCCCCCAACCCCCAGTAGTTAGCCCTCACCAGGATAAAAGAAAATAAAACACCCTTATGAGTTTTATTTTATTATTATTTTATTTCTCCTACAATTATTTATGCTATCTTTTAAAAAAAAAATTATAGATGATGTAAAATCATGACCTTTAGTCCATATCCAGAGTACCACCAAATACACATTGTCAGTCACTCTGTGGTTCGTGATACCCACTGGCAGGTCCCTCGGGGGCCTCCGCAGGTCTCTGTTTGTCCCCCTGGT